CGGGAGCAGCTACGTACACGTGCGTGTGTCCGGCTGCAGCGTGAAGGGATCGAGACCAACTCCGCCCAGCTCGGCCCATAGCTCAGCTGTCAGCTGGTTCGCGGCGATAATGGTGTCGAGCACAGTGGCGCTGTTTCCGTCGACGGCAGACTGGTCGAGGACGACATCCAGGGCGGCGACTGCCTCGAGGAGAGCCTTGAGGGCACCATGTTTGGCCAGGGTAAAGGCGACATGAAAGACGGGCGTATTGAACGTGGGTTCAACAGCGTTGACGTCTGCACCAGTGGTGACGAGCTCGGAGACGATGTCGGCTGAGATCGGGACGGTGGGTGAGGCGCGGAGGGCGACAAAGAGGGCAAGAGTGGCCTTGTTGATGCCGCTGGTTAGCTCGGTGGCGCCGTCGCCATGCTCGCGGATCCAGGCGACCATCGCAGATGAGAACGCTGCAGATCGCTTCGCGGGAGCAGCTACGTACACATGCGTGGCGTCCGGTTGCAGCGCAAACGGATCAAGACCAACTCCGCTCAGCTCGGTCATCCGCATAGCCGTCAGCTGGTTCGCGGCGATAATGGTGTCGAGCACAGTGGCGCCGTTTCCGTCGACGGCAGACTGGTCGAGGACGATGTCGAGGGCGGCGACTGCCTCGAGGAGAGCCTTGAGGGCACCGTGCTCCGTGTTGGCAGCCGCGACATGAATGACGGGCGTATTGAACGTGGGTTCAACAGCGTTGACGTCTGCACCAGCGGTGACGAGCTCGGAGACGATGTCGGCTGAGATCGGGACGGTCGGTGAGGCGCGGAGGGCGACAAAGAGGGCGAGGGTGGCCTTGTTGATGCCGTTGGCGAGCTTGGTGGCACCGTCTGCGTTGGCCCGCAGCGACTCGATCATGAGGCCGACAAAGACCGGTGCAGAGAATGTGGGCGAGTGCACGTACGCGTGCTTGTTGTCATCATCGAGATCGTAGAGGTCTGCGCCGTTGGCAAGCAGCGTGTTGAGCGCGCTGAGGGAGAGGAGGTTGCAGCGGTCTATGGCATGCACCGGATGGGGCTGGGCCTGAGCAACGTCAAGCAGAGCACGGGCGTGCTGCGATGCAAGGAAGTCTGGTTGGACGATGGCAGTGCGTGCGCGATGCAAGTCGAGGGTAACCTTGGAGCAGGAGGACAAGTTGAGGGTTGTGAGGTTGGGGCAGCCACCGGCGAGGGCGACCACTGCCGCATCAGTGATGTTGGAGCAGTTGTCCAAGCCGAGGGTTGTGAGGTTGGGGCAGCCACCGGCGAGGGCGACCACTGCCGCATCGGTGATGTTGGAGCAGTATTCCAAGTAGAGGGTTGTGAGGTTGGGGCAGCCACCGGCCACCGCCACCACTGCCGCATCGGTGATGTTGGAGCAGCTAAACAAGTTGAGGGTTGTGAGGT